TTCCTCTATTGTCAGGAACAAGATATGGATGTCCACCCTCACCATGGTTATTAAATATAGTACTGGAATTCCTAGCCTTAGCAATCAAAAAACAAAAGGCATACAAATCAGCAAGGAGGAAGTGAAATTTTCACTACTTGCAGATAGCATAATACCCTATAGAGAATATCCAAAGGACTGCACCAAAAATTGCTAGAACTGATACACAAATTCAGTAGTCATAGGATACAAAATCAACATACAGAAATCTGTTGCATTTCCATATACCAATAATGAAGCAGCAGAAAAAGAAATTGAGGAATCAATCTCATTTAAAATTGCATGAAAACCATAAGACACCTAGGAAGAAACCTAACCAAAGAGGTAAAAAATCTGTATTCTTAGAACTATGAAACACTGATGGAAGAAATTGAAGTTGACACAAAGAAATGGAAAAACATTCCATGCTCATGGATCGGTTGAAATGTCCATACTACCCAAAGCAATCTACACATTTTATGCCATTCCTGTGTAAATACCACCACAATTTTTCACATGGCTAGAAAAAACAATCCTAAAATATGTATGGAACCACAAAAGACCCTGAATAACCAAAGCTTGAAGAAGAAAAGCAAAGCTGGAAGCATCACAATTCTGGATTTCAAGTAATATTACAAAGCTATAGTGATCAAAAGAGTATGGTACTGGCACAAAAACAGACACATAGATCAGTGGAACAGAATATAAAACCCAGAAATGAACACAGAACTATATGGTCAGCTAATCTTTGACAAAGCAGGGAATAATATCTAATAGAAAAAAAAAAAAAAAGACAGTCTCCTCAACAAATGATGTTGGCAAAACTGGACAGTGACATGCAGAAAAATAAACCTGGATCACTTTCTTATACCATCCACAAAAATAAACTCAAAATTAATGAAAGACTTAAGTGTAAGACAGGAAACTATCAAAATCCTAGTGAAGAACACAGGCAGTAACCTCTTTGACATCAGCTATAGCGACTTCTTACTAAATATGTCTTCTGAGGCAATGGAGACAAAAGCAAAAATAAACTATTGAGACTTCATCAAAATAAACAGCTCTGCACAGCAAAGGAAATAATCAACAAAATTAAAAGGCAACCTATGGAATGGAAGAAGATATTTTCAAATGACATTTCTTATAATGGGTTAGTATACAAAATCTATAAAGAACTTATCAAATTCAACTTCCCAAAAATAAATAATCCATTTAAAAAACTGAGAGAAGACATGAATAGACATTTTTCCAAAGAAGACAAACAGATGGCCAAGACACATGAAAAAATGCTCAACATCACTCATCATCAGGAAAATACTAATCAAAACTACAATGAGATATCACCTCACACCAGTCAGATGGCTAAAATTAACATCACAGGAAACAACAGATGTTGGCAAGGATGTGGTGGAGAAAAGGGAACTCTCTTACTCTGTTGGTGGGAATGCAAACTGGTGCAGCTGCTCTAGAAAACAGTATGGAGGTTCCTCAAAAAGTTAAAAATAAAACTACCCTATGATCAAGCAATTGCACTACTAGGTATTTATGCCAAGGATATAAAAATACTGATTTGAAAGGATACATGCATTCTTTTATTTATAGCAGCATTATCAACAATAGCCAAATTATGGAAAAAACCCAAATGTCCATCAACCGATGAATGGATAAAAAGGTGTGGTGTATGTATATTACACACACACACACACACACACACACACACAC